ACTTCGAGCGGAGATCGAATCTTTAAAGCTGAAATCAGATGAGATTGAAACTGAAAAGGACGCACTGCGAAAAGAGAGAAACAATCTTCAATACGAGCTTCGTTCGCTGAGAGAGCAGCTAAAAAACGTGGAGACAGTGTACCAAGACAGTACTGATGGATTACAACAGGCTAACAGCGAGTTAATGTCCACTCACAAAAGGATAGCAGAACTGGAAACGGAGTTACAGAGTGCAGCAAAGGGCAACCAGGACCACCAGTATCAGTTAGATAAAGCCAAGAGAGATATCAGAAATAAGGAAGAGCAGATCGCTAAATTAGAGAAAAACCTCCGAGATCTTAAATCCGGAAAGGAGTTTCTGGTAAAGACCTGTGATGAGAAAGATACGAATATTGAAGCCCTTGATCGAAAATGCACCAAACTTGAAAATGAAATCGATAGGTTGAAGAAGGAGTTATTCAGAGCACAGGAAGACCAACAGAGGAGCGATAGGAAGTTCAAAGACCTTCAATCAAAACGACCATCAGAGGTCAGTCGTGTGGATGTTAAACCAACCTACGAGACTAGCTTCGAAGTCCGACGTAGCCGCACACAGTCAGAAAACTTATCTTTTAAAGGACGCGGCAGAAAGACGTCAAGTATCTCCATGGACGTGGGAGGAAGTAAACCTGTCTCTCCTCGGTCCTCTCCGCGCTCTTCACCTCGTCCAGGGCGTGCGCCCCTTTCTCAAAGAGGTTTTGCGCCAGTACACCAAAGTAGGCGTCCCGGAGACAGCCACACCCGTCCACGCTCCAGTAACGTCAGCGGCAAAATCCAGCCGGAAGTGACGTATGAAGAACCAGTGATAGAAGTGCAAGTAAGACCAGTGGAGGACGAGCGACCACTGCAACAACAAAGTGATTCTAAAACTGGGAGGAAAACCCCGACAGGAAATTCTCTTGAAAGGCAGACTTTCAGTTATGAATATAACGAAAGAACTGTGTCAAGTGTTGTGAGCGCCCACAGAGTAACAGAAGATTTAGCTTATGCAGAGGGAACAAAACCCACACCTCTTAACAGGAACAAAACAACTGATTACAATAGAAATTTCTACCTTTAATCAAAATCATCTTGTTAAGCTTTCACTGAGAGAGCTTGGCGCTCTTTTCAAACTAGGGCATTTTTAACAATCACATTTTGGTTTTTATGCCACTTCAATTATTTTTTTGAGAGATAGTTTACATTTTTGCCTTTAGTATAAAATACATGAGATATGGGGGTTATATGATTAGTAATCTTTTTTTGAAATCACGAACAATCAATTTAGGAGCTATTACTTTCTTGAAGTCGAACACGCACGTGTATAAACTCGTTGCAATGCCTTGCTCAAAATAGATATTACTAAGAAAACACTGAGTATAGTGCAGTTAAAGCTGCTTGTTTTGGAGAAGGATCGCGTATGTTGTTTTCCCTAGGGTATACTCGCAACAGTCAATTTATAAATAGACTTGCTTATACCTCGACGAATATTTCACTACAAGGGCAATGAATACTGTGATTCTGTAAATTCAACCAAATTGATTGATCTGAAACTTTATACATTTTTACAAACAAGCACCTGGAAGATAATTTGCTTGTGGTGGTTGAAAGTCTTTGGAACTTTTTTTACATTTATACCAAGAAACTCAACACGATCTCATATCTTGGTATTTCAGCCACTTGGCATCAGAATCATCCTTGTTCGGAGATTAGGAATTTACCTTTTTTTCATTTCCATTTGCTTTAGCTACAATCATGACTAGTCTAGTATAAAAGAATATTTTAAGAGATTTGTATGCTTTGTAGTATATTAGTTACAAATAAAAATGAGTTGGCATTCTAACTCTTTTGGACAAGTGATTCATTGAAACCAACAAGGGACTGAAAAAGCAATAACTTCCTTCAGAGTCGTCTTAGATTGTTGTCTTCTGAGAAAAATTGATTTTGATCATCTGCAAAAATGCATGGCGTGATACTTGTCAACCAAGAGAACTTAAGTATAATCGTGATGTTGCTTCGTCGGAACTCCCGGTAGAACCATACTCAGTAAACAGGCTACACCAAATTCAACAAGGAAGCAAACACTACCAACTTCTCGATTGATGGCCAGTACCACATGCGCATGCCCACAATCGTATCACCCTGGTTGGGGTAGTGGCAGCCAAGAACACGAGCTGCTTTGCCTTCATTAGACTCCTCAGCGTGGCACAGCCATCAGGCCCCTGTTATTACCTGTTAAGCTCTATACGAGGACGAAACAGCTGTCCATGGCTGCTAGACCTGCCACAGCACAAGTCATTTATGGCTGTGCGCACGTTAAGTATTTGCCGGCTGTGTATAAAAGTGGGACGGGCACAAGGGGACGGGGACGTCGGGACGCGTGTGTGGGGACTTGGGACGTCGGGACGCGAGACGAGGGACTTGAGGACATCAAGTATGGGGCGCGGGGACCTGTGGGACGGGGACGCGGGGACGTCAAAAACAGGGACTCAGGGGACGCGGGATATGAATGATTATCGCAAAAGTCGGAGGTAAATGCGATATCTCTTTCTTCGTAAAAATGTGTTATTTATGGTCAACATTAGATTTCATCTTCCAAAACCGCATTGACTCCTTATTATGTTTACACAAAATATTTCTTTATAATAAGAGTAAGCGCAATGACTATCGTGATTGGGGTTATGGTTAACTGATTTCCACTGTCGAGTAATTTTTCCATGCGTACGTGCGTAAAATTTGCGTTTGCAAATAAAATAGAGGCAATGTATAAAAGGTCGCACGTAAGCATAAAAGTAGAATCTCGCTTAACTTCACGTTTAATCTCAACAATTTATATCTCGCCTCTATCTTATTTACGTGATTAAAATTTGCTTGCGTCAACGTGCATAGCCAAAAACGCGTCAGGGGGAATCAACCTTTCAGTACTGTTAGCAAGCACTTCTTGTTAGGTTTTCCACTAAAAATATATGTAGAACAAAATAAATATTGCTACAATAGTCGAATCCCCTGTGGTTTAGTGGTACAGGCGATGGATTTCGGAGTTAGCAGTTCGGGATTCGAAGCTCGCTTATGCCACTTAATTTTAAATTTATTTGGAATCGAATGCTGTTATTCTACATAATTTTTGGCGACCGCAACCCACCCTACCCTGCTTTGGGCTCCAATATTCCATCAGCAAGAGGAAATATTCACGAGGAAAGTGACCGATATCGCATTTACTTCCGACTTTTGCAACAATTATTCACACCCCGCGTCTTCCGTTTCCCCGTCCCACACGTACCCGCGTCCCCGTCCCACACGTCCCTGTGTCCCATACTTGATGTCCTCAAGTACCTCGTCTCGCGTCCCCAAGTCCCAAGTCCCCACACACGCGTCCCGATGTCCCCGTCCCACTTTTATACACAGCCGCATTTGCTGTACCTGGTATCGGTAGTGTGTGCTTTCTTGGTAATTTTTTTTTCCTTTTCTCAGATACTCCACAAATTTTTCTTGAGAGGTATATCTAGTCAATTTAAGTCAACAAAATTACCCAGTTTCCACGCATCACGTTGTGTTATGTCGTTTGCCGTTTCGTCCGCTGTGTGTGTTTGTTTAAGCTTCCTGTCGACACGGCATAACTGGAAACTATGTACAAAAATTGTCTGAAAAATTTGAGCATTAACTAGGTATTAACTAAATGCTTCCATATTTCTTAAGTTTTCTTTTAAACTAAGTAAAGTACGTATGATACGCAGCAAGTGCTCTAGGTCGCCATTCACTGTGACTGGACAAAATATACAGAGAAGTTGTCATCTTTTTTCGCTCGAATTTGAAACTCTTCCAGCTTTACAAATGGTACTTGTGGTGGAAGGATGATAAACGAAGCATAGCTATAAAAACAAGAGATCAAAATGAAGAAATAATCGGTACAAATGGGCTGCAAATACTCACGATTTCGACTTTCGTGCCTCCAAAGAAGAAAAATGTCCTTCTCGTGTTTGAAAAATGGCGGCCGTCAAAAGACAAACGCGGGCGGGATAGTCAGGTCACCCACTCTGCCATGCGCGGATAAAAATGAGGCAAACTCAAGTTGCGGAATTTCTCAAAATAGGAAATAAGCAGCTAAAAAACGGTCCAAAACTATTCTTATGGACTTAACATTTTCGATCAGTAAGGGGAAGACTAAAAAATAGTCAAGTGGTGCAAATTGCCGTTAATCTTATCTCTAAATCTTTTTAGCTCTTTCTACTATCCTGAATGTTACGTCAAACTGGTCTCCGCGTCAATTGGTTGAACAAGATCTTGGCGACCAAAGCAAAAGACGAACCCACGTCGCACACAAGGACATATTTGTAACATCTCGTTCCTGAACGTTTTGTTCATTGTAGTGTATATGACAGGATTGCAAGCTGAATGCATTCCGGCAATGAGTGTCACGCAGGAAAATAAGATGCGTGACATCTCTAGGGAAGTAACAGCTTGAAGGATATGTACAATAACAAAAGGCGTCCAACAGGCCGCAAATACAAATAGCACCGTGAAGACAATTCTTGCTGTTTTCGTTTCGCGTTGAAAGTTTCTTTCCACTTCTCGTCCATTGTTCCAGCGTTGCATTTGCTTCTTGTGAAAACGAACTTTGAGAAATACTCGCAAATAACAGTAAAACATTATTAAGAGTGGTATCAGAAAGCATGCGACAGCCACCAGCAGAATGTAACCTTGGTCCTGAGTAAAGGACATTTTACACATAGAGCTCAGAGATGAATGGACATATTTGTTCCATCCAAGGACTGGCAGGACACCCATGACAATGGA